TATATATATTGCTTCTTTTTGATCATTACATTTACGTTGAGGAATTTTACAAACATTAAACATGTTTTGAGATTTTTTTAGTGGTTGCGCTCCATTTCCACATCTTAAAAGTCATTATCTAAAGAAAACATGTTTGAGGGAGTGGTGGTTCAGAGGCTACAAAAGGGAGCCCATGATTGGAAAGTTTCAGGTTTGAATCCCCAGACCGCCACACTAAATTTAGGTGGGAAATGTGAAGTACCTTCAACTGTCCCCTTAAGAAAGGCCCTTAAGCCTCCAACTGCTGTTCATGTGCCCTAGATTGCAGCTCTCTGCTCCATTCACATGTGATAAGGAAAGACAGAGAATAAATTTCCCCTTTAGAGATTAAAACAAGTATATTAAAAAATGTGCTCATGACAGTCCGTTTCCTGTCTCACAGATACAATCAGGCACAACATGACTTGCCTAAAAGCATTGCTGATTCTCTATGATTTGAACTAAAACAGTTTGTTCTTTCCAAGATAGCTGCTCCATTTCATTTCTTACTGGTATATATGGTAAGAAACTGTACAGGTCACGTCTCACCTTTCAATATCTKCTCTCATGCAGAAAAGCAGAACTTCTGCATAAAACACTTATTTTATCAATATGACGGATGAATTCAAAATGTTTTAAAATTTTATTTGATGTCAAAATTGCACAAGATATTTTTTTTGTTTCCATCTACTCAGAACAGCTAAGTGAAATATCCATTTGTATAGGTTCCACTAAGCAGGTTTGGCTGATGCAGATGTTGTACAGAAACATTTAATAGTGATCTTAGTTGTAGTCATGATCTCTATCCTCACTCAGAGTGCAAATTTTCATTAACAACAAAAAGCAACAACTTATTAAATGAAAACAAAAACAACCAAAGAGAAAAAAAAACACACACTAGAATTAAAGCAGATAAATGCTGACACCTTGTGGTTGTGTTACAAACACAAGCACACAGCTGACGCCCAGAGAGGGAAAAAAATATTTAAAAAAACTTTACAAGTTTCCTTAATGGTAAACATCAAAAAACTACATAAACAAATAATGAAAGAAAGAAAGAAAGAAAGAAAGAAAAAAAACAACAACATGGAAAGCAGATTGCATACTCGTTTTATTTAAAAAAAGCAAACTTTGCAATATTCACAATAAAGGAATGTTGTATAATTACAATTCACTCTTGTTAAGTAAATAACAATGCCGCTTGTTAATCTCCAAGCACACCCCGCCGGAATTTGCTGCTGTGAAGAAGCCCTGTTGGCTTTTTGCTCACAAATTGCCCTATTTTTTTAATGGCTGAATTGCTTTAGTAAATTTAAAACTGCACAGACGTGCTGCTGTCTCAGCAACATGGATCTTCTGTAGAAATGCAAATAGGTACACATGCAACGCAAACCTCTGGCTAATTATACAGCCGTCTTACAAGGTTTATGTCCCTGAGCRCTGGGGAAAAAGTGTAATGCACAGTGTCTATGCTCTCTGAAACACAGCTTTAATACTGAATACAGTTTTGGCTCACCAGACTGGAAAGTATTTTTGTAAAGTTTCTTGAACACTAATTATACTGCAACACAGAAGCACGGGGGCTCTTTGCTAGTGATTAAAAATGTGATGGTTTGGACATTTTCTTTCTTATTTAAACAAACAAACAAAAAATGAAAAACACACAAAGACAGAAGTAAACAAAAGTGAACAGGGTGGGGTTCATCTGAGTGAATAAATGGAGATTATAAAAATGTATGAAAATGGGATTAATAAAAGAATCATGCCCAGGTTTATCATAAAGCCTGGTATTTAAGATTAACTCCAAGGTTGGCTGAGTTTAAAAACATCCTTAAACAAAAATATATTATATTGTGCTATGGTCAGCTTGATATTTGCCTTTTCCTATGTGAGACAATTTCTTCCTTATAATACAGTGAGTTAAGAAAAATCTTATTTAAAATCTAGAAGGCACTAACAAAAACAAAAGCACTCTAAAATGAAAGGAAGGAAAAAAAAACAGAAACTACTTGACTCAAATTTACAGACTGGACTGCAACAAGATGGCAGGTCAAGCAAAGTTTTCTATGAAGCTCAATCATCTTTTTTGTCAGAAGTGCTGTCTTCACTGTTTTCCACTGAACTGATTTCACCAACTACTTCCAGTTCACCGGGCCTGGCCTCTTTGAGTGCCTGGTGTCTCTGGAGCTCCAGGTAAGTGGTGAAAAGCTTGGCATATTCAGGGTGGGTAGAAGCAAAGGACTGAAATTCTCCTGAAGATTCACAAGAGCAAAAATAAATAAATAAATAAATAAATAAATAATATATATTAGGGGTGCAACGATACAGGAAATTCACGGTTCGGTTCTGTTCGATACTTTACTCTCACGGTTCGATATTTTTTCAATACAAAAAAAATTTCCATTCCCCTTTTAACTTGTAATTTATTTATATTAATTATGAACATTTGTTTAACCTCAAAAGAAAAGTTTTGTAATTAAATGTTGCTGAAACAGCAAGTTTCTCAGTGGACCTGCGCTCAAAACTGCAGCCTAGGTGGAGTAGTGGAACACAGATCCACTGATCCTTCAACACAGAGCATCTTCAGAARACAAGTTGATAAAGTAAATTTTTAAAATTTGTTTTTGTTCGATACAGCACTGTTCGATACGGTTCCATACGGGTACATGTATTGTTGCAYCCCTAATTTCTTGTGACATTAAACCTTTGACCCGAGGCAACATGAACTTACCGAATGTGATGAAACCAGAGGAGTCTGCATCTATCTCCTTAAAGAGCTTAGTCATGTTTAAATCGGACACACCCAGAGCAGAGCGCAGCAGAGCCRTGAACTCGTCGTGGGTTATTTTCCCATCTTTGTCTGTGTCAAACAGCTGGAGACAAGAGCAAAATCGAAGTGTCTTTTGAATGTTCGCAGTCGTAAAAAAAGAAAAGATTAAAAAAAGGGAAGAAGTGTAAAACAACAAAATATGATGAAAAAGATTTTGCTAGAACCGTTTGCCCAAACTGACGTGTGGTCTTCTGGGCATTAAAGGGACTCCATGACTTACAGAGGAGATGCCCGTTTGTTAACTTGACAAGATCCATGCATGTCTGAATGTTACTAGATTTCTTCCAACAGCCTAACTGCTACTGACAGTAAAAAGCAGCACTGGGAAAAGATTTATTCCAAGTCTGAACATCGCAGAAATCTCTCCTTAGCCTTTAATCTCAATCAAACCTTGGATAATACTGATATCAACAGGAACCTTTAAATCCATCGCTGTAGAGACGTGACATAAAACAAGTACATGCTTCAGTGGCAACGCTCTTTCTCTGACCGTCTTGAATAACGATCAGTCTCAATAAAACAACCAGTGTGAGTTGTTTTTAGTGCATACTACCTGAAAAGCCATTTGCAGAACATCTTCCGTGTTGGCGGGTCGACACAAGATGTTCACACCAATAACATACTCCCTAAAGTCAATGGTGCCATCTCCATTCTGCACAGGGTGAAAACCACAGAATTAAGTTTTATAACACATATTATATCATTTCATTCTGTAGATACAATTTATTCAATATTAAAAAAAACAACAGTTCTTACAGATACCTATGTAGGATAAAGAAAAAAGGTAGCCTTTTTTGAAAGTCTTGACTACAGAGGCTATTTTAAATGATGTATTTATAGATGAAAAAATAATCTTAACTCACTGACTTAAACTTAAAGTCTTTTTTCTAGGTTTCCCTTCCCACTTCAAGCTTTACAACTGGGAAGGAGCTTTTATGCATGTAAATGCTAACAAGCAGCCGCTTCTCTGTTAATTACTATTTAATCAACACGTCACAGACTATACACCAACAAATGATAGTTTTAATTTTATTAATTAATCACAATGATGTTAAGTTTCCTGGCTTTGATTTGATTTGTTTTTTTATATTTTTTTTTTGAAAAAATGAAAAGATGGATTGATTCTCACCCTATCAAACAGAGCAAACAACTCCTCAAGAGCTGGGTTGATGGGTAACTTTAAGAAGCTGGCAAACTCCTCTATGGTTATCCGTCCTCCATTGCAGGAGGTGGCCCTGACTGCGAAACCTTCCAGCTCCTTCTTCACGTTGTCCCATTTCAGACTGTGTAAGACAAAACATAGTCATAGATATTTATTTCTTTTAGAAACACTGTTACAGTTCTTGCCTGTTTGTTGTATTGAGCTGCTCTTACTTGAGTTTTCGACTGATTTTGGTGAACTCAACTAGGCCAGCCTCCATGGGGAGAGTCAGCTCTCCAGCTGAGATCATCAGGCGACAGTCTTCATATGTGTGGTCTGTCACTGAAACCCCTAAAACTCTGAAGGCAGAAGGTTTAGCAGTCAGCTAAAATGATCATTAAGGCCTTGTCATTCATTTTAGACAATTTATGACAATTTTGTTCAACACTAAAGATGTCTATGGTACATTGAAGATAGAATGGGGGGAAAAATCTACTTCAACTCTATTTTTGGACATTTACATACTACAATGCTAACAATTTGATTAAATATATAACTTAAGAGTAATTTAATCATAACAAAAAAATTATTGTCTAAAACATTTTAGTGTGACAGGGCCTTTAGGAGTTTGTTGGAACAGAAGAGTAAAACAAAGATCAGAAAGATGCAGCATCTCAATGAACTAGTGTGTTTCCCATCAACACCAATACTGCTCACACATTTTAACTACTTCCCTTATTAAATGTTTAAATATATAATTTCCTTTTTCTATTGACATTCAGTCTGCTGTACACTCAGAGAAAACACAGTCAAATGAGTGATTCAACCCACAGGATGTTTTCTGAAATACCTTTCAACAACAGAAAGGTATTTTTATAAGACAAGACAGTCACATGACCAAAGAGTACCCACTGGGCCATAGTTTCTCGGACTCTGCTGGCAAACAGAGCAGGACTTTTCTTCTCCTCCTCTGTGGGGACGTGTGGTGGCAAGAACTGGAAAAAAAATCAAAACAAACATCTCTGCTGCAGGCTGAACAGGAAGAAAAAGTACCAAAAAAAACAAGGATATCACATCATCTGTTTTACATGATATTAAAATGCATAAACAAATGCAAATCAAAATGGCTGTTACCTCAATCTCCACTGTGGTATAAAGCTGGCTCAGTGTCAGAAGCAAAAGTGTCTTCCTGAACACAATACATAAATAACCGTACAGCATTTGTATTTATATATTAAAACACACACACACACACACAC